CTTGGGCTATCTTACGAGCCCAAGACAAGTAGGTGTAACAAACAGTGGTGGTGACCTTGTATTGTAGATGATCTCGATATGGAGCAATTAGCGCGTTCGGAATGTCCGAGTGCAGAGATTAGCCTATTTCCAGGCAATTTCAACCGGTGTTCAACCAATGAAAAATCATAAAATGCTGCAACGGACATTGATTCCAATGTAGGGCAGCCGAGCGGGGAACCGTATAGGCTGGTTGGAGATAGCCCAATCTATTGAACCAGCTGCGCTCTCATCACATATAGAAATCGAAGGTAATCTGGTCGCGAAAGAGACATAACAAGTTGGTTACGCCCATAATTGACCATGTAGTGAGATAGAGGCAGAGCCAAGGTACGATAACTTTAGGAACAAGGCAGGGCTCTGGTGTGTAATACTGGCTAATTAAATGGTAAATGGAGGCCATAGTTGAGTACAAGAGTAGAGAATCACCACACAACGACCTGACCGTCGTATCAACTCTGTGTTGACCTTTGTTCCTTCACGACCACACACAACCACAACCACGAAATTAAGCCTCATATTGAGAAATAACCTAGAGAGAAGATGAATGAATCCTGGAAGAGGACTGCTTCACGGAAATGAACAGAAATTGAATTTGAGAAAAAACTTATTAGAAGCGTGTGGAAGCCGATTGCTTTGACAGGCCACTGACAAAGGGCACACATGGTTGAGCATTGCGATGCAATAAGCATAACCAAAACAGAAGCTATTCAGCAGAATGGGATCGAAGCAAAGGGCTCGGAAATGGAGGTCGTCAAAAAGCAACCATTGGAAAGACTCAATTTAAAATGCTTTGAATAACGAATGAACCAATGAATGCTAGGGCGAAATGTGATGTTTGCGGTCCACTAAAAAAGGTCGTCGACCGTGCGCTCACGTCGGACTACTTCTACAGAACAAGTTTCCAGGAAAAAGAGCGTCAGATCGATCGCCGATGAGTCAGAGCCGGCTCGGACCTGTAATCCTCGCTACGACTCTCATAAGCTGCAAATGCCAATGATCAGCAATCTGGAGTATTTCAAGAGCCTCACGGAGCTCATTACGACATAGACGCGATCGGCCATGTTCAAGTGGCTTTCCATCCCGTCCTCAGCATGGTCGACGACATCATCTTTCAATAGCTTCGTTACACAAACAAACTTAAATGCTTGCCATGTTTTTCTAATTTTTTAAGGGCCATTTTTTTTCTAAAAATCATTTGGAGCAACAAGATCAAATCGTCGCTGAGGATGAGGAGGGACTTCCAGGCAGGACTGTGTCGTAAGAGGGAAGGTTCGAGATGCTCTTCATGGAAAGTGAAGAACTGGATGAAGGTCTTAAAGCTAATTATTCATAAAATCCAGAGCAGCAACAGAAAATAATCGATAGAGTACTGATTTGGCGGAACTGAGCACCTCGTTGGCCAAAATGGGAATTATTCATAAACTAGGGAACGGATGAAGTGATTCACGTCACCCGTGTGACTTTGCGAACAGTAACACCCATTCAGCAATAGGAACGTGGTCATGACTAATGCCATTATTTGCGACAAAACGATTGCGGATGAAGCGCGGATGATATACGGACGGGCTCCAGCCCCCCTTTCTCCACTACCGTTCATTCACATAAAGTCGGAGAGCCCTCAATATAAAACACCCCTCTTTACTGCTTGAAGCCTGCTAAGGGCTCTAGCCTAATGCATAAATAATGCAAAAACGGAATAATGCAGAAAAAAGTTTACGGTAGCACAAGGTGGCGAAGTACATGGAAGACCCAAGGCAAAATTTCTACGAGATGTACCCTATCAACAAGGAGAGGTGCTCCAATGCTACTTCC